GAGGAGGAGGAGGAGAGGAGGAGGAGGAGGGGGAGGAGGAGGAGGAGGGGGAGGAGGAGGAGGAGGAGGAGGAGGAGGAGGAGGAGGAGGAGGAGGAGGAGGAGGAATAGGAGCGCACTTTACTGTCTCGAGGACAACTTTGTGTCTTTCCTGCAGCCTCGAGGAAGAAACAACGGCATCTCCATAAACTTTCAGAGCTCTGCGCGGCGTTCTCGGATCGGCGCCGGCACCCCTGGCGGTGCCTCTGTCGTCCCCCCCTGGCGCGCTTCACGCGCCGGGGAGGGGGGTCAGCGCCGATCCAAGAAATCCCCGCGGAGTTTCGAATGCTTGTGTTGATGCAGTTCTTGATTCCCCTATAGCCCGCTGAATATGTGGCTGCTGGAGGCTCTGCGAACAAGGCCGGCCACAAAATCTACTCGGCGATGTTGCAGCGTGATGTCATCTTTAACCACCACAATCCGATGCTGGAGAAGGACTACGAGTTTCTTTCTGGCTGCGTGGACAATCTGCAGGGCTTCGCCCTCTTCCGCGGGTCCTCTAGGTTGAGTCATCGTATGGCACTTTTGGAAATTCTTTGGCTTCCCTAGGCCATTGTGGGGCCCCTCGGGGTCATCTCAGAGCCTATCGGGACACCATTTGGACACATGAGGGCCTCCCAGGCTATCTTTGGGACATGTTGGGCAATCTTCGGGCCTGTGGGTAATTTTGGGGCCTCTTCAGGCTTTTTGTTGGCCCAGCCTTGGTGATCCGGGTCGCATGTTGGGACCCTCTGTGGGCCATCGCGGGGCCCTCTGGGCAGTCTCTGGGGTTCTGGGCCAGTCTTGACCCGATCTTTGGAGATTAAGTGGGCAAAGCATGGACAGGCAGAGAAACAATCGAGAATGTAATCATCGAACGCAAAATGTTTGACGCTTCGCGTCTCCCCACCAGCTTACATCGTACCGCGCCCCGGACGTTGTGCCCGCTCCCTGTCCGTCGCCTTGGAGCCGCGAGCCAAAAAAAAGTATCCCCACCAGCGGGGGGAGCGTTCAATGAAGTTTGGGCCGCATGGGTGAAGAGGGCTGCCCTGAGGCAGGGGACCAACGGAAGCGAAAAACACGACCCTAAACGGAACACAATTCAGTCGCGCAGCGAATTCCTCCAGGCGTGGGACGACGCAGGGTACGACGCCTACAAGATGGACAGCGACCTAGGGCTCAACGTCCACTGGCCGTCGGTCAAGGACAAGCACATGAAGCTCCTGCAACGCGAACCCAGAACCCACGCTCAGCGCGGGCCCGACAGCAGCAGTGGACCCGCCCCATGGACGGCAGAAGGCAGGTCAGCCACGGCGGCGGCCGTGCATGATCGATGGGCAGGTGCCGTCGGCTCTGCCACCCCCACCCGGTGGCAGGGCTGGCAGGAGTGGAATTCCTGGGGCCACCAGAAAGCACCGTGGACGGAAACGGATTGGAAAAGGGAAAGGTTAGCGTTACTCCCCCAGGGGAGACGATCGATACACAGACAAGCGCGCCCGATGGTGGGGCAGGGAAGACTCGTACGCCCAGGGCTAGCAGGGTCCAGTCAGCCTGTCAGCGCGCCCCCTGCCCTTCCGGCCCGTCGCCTATGCCTCCCCCCCCACCTCGCCCACACCTCTCCCCGCTGGGGATGTTCACCTGGCAGCGCCCGGCCTCGGCCTTAACCTGGGGCAACTCCCGCTGGGTCGGGGGTCTCCCCGTTGAAAAAATGAACGCCCCAGGGGTCCGTTCCCGTTCCCGTTCCCGTTCCCGTTTTTTTTTTCGTTCTCTCTTTCTCTCTCTCTCTCTCTCTCGTCCTCTCTCTCTCTCTCTCTCTCTTTTTCTCTCTCTCTCTCGTCCTCTCTCTCTCTCTCTTTCTCTCTCTCGTCCTCTCTCTCTCTCTCGCCCTCTCTCTGTTTCTCTCCGTCCACCCTGAAGGGGGTCAAGAGGGAGGCTCCAGAAAGGCCGCGGAGGCTTGGAGGCTTGTTGGGCTCTCCTGAGAGGCCTCTCGGGGGCCTCCTAGGCGGCATGTTTCAGGTCTCTTGGGGCCCGTAGGGGTCTTCTTGGAGACATCAGGGGGGGGACTTGGGGGTTTCCTGGGACTCTGCAGGTCTCTGTCAGACGCCTACGGCGAATCATCGCCGCCCCTTGCCTTTTGGAAGCGCCGATGCGGCCAAGCGTTACGGCGCAGTGTGGCCAAGATGTTGGACCAGGTGTTCCCCGAGCCGTTGTTGAAACCCGTGGGGGAAACACTCGGGGGGGGATGATGGGGGAGGAGCAGGATTGAGGGGGATGATGGCGATGATCACGGAGAGGCAGATGAGATGAGGAGGAGGCGGGGGAGGAGGCCCCTTCGAGGCCTTTTGGGGCTTCTTGCGGGCTTTTGGAGGCCTCTTTGGGCAATCTGGAGTCCTTTTTTTTTGGGCAATCTTGGCCGTCTTGGAGGGCATTTTCGATCGCCTCGGGGGCCATGCAGGGCCGTCCTGGCAGTCTTCGACGGCATGCTGGCCGTCCTGGAGGCCACACTGGACCATGTCACCATGCTTGAATGCCATCTCTTACGTGTCTTAGGCCATATTGGAGGCAATCTTATCCGTCCCGGAAGCCATAGTGGCCGTCGTGGAAGCCATCCCAAACCTAGCCCAGCTCACCCAGCCAGAATTTTGCCCACCCAGCCCTGGTTCTGTTAATGCACTGGTACATATCCAGCTGCCTGCGGAAAGTCCCGCCGCCGTGATGTTGATGATGTCGACGATGACGATGACGATGGCGATGCTGATGCTGATGATGATGCTGATGATGATGATGGTGATGGTGATGGTGATGATGACGATGCTGGCGATGATGGTGACGATGGTGATGATGAGGATGATGATGGTGCTGATGATGACGGTGATGACGAAGACGACGATGATGATGATGACGATGATGATGATGGTAGTAGTACTAATGGTAGTACTACTAGTGGTAGTAGTAGTAGTCGTAGTAGTAGTAGTAGTAGTAGTAGTAGTAGTAGTAGTAGTAGTAGTAGTAGTAGTACTAGTAGTAGTAGTAGTAGTAGTAGTAGTAGTAGTAGTAGTAGTAGTAGTAGTAGTAGTAGTAGTAGTAGTAGTAGTAGTAGTAGTAGTAGTAGTAGTAGTAGTAGTAGTAGTAGTAGTAGTAGTAGTAGTAGTAGTTAGTAGTAGTAGTAGTAGTTAGTAGTAGTAGTAGTAGTAGTAGTAGCAGCAGCAGTAGTAGTAGTAGTAGTAGTAGTAGTAGTAGTAGTAGTAGTAGTAGTAGTCGTCGTAATAGTAGTAGTAGTAGTAGTAGTAGAGTAGTAGCGTCGTCGTAGTAGTAGTAGTAGTCATTAGTGTAGTAGTAGTAGTAGTTAGTAGTTCGTAGTAGTAGTAGTAGTAGTACTAGTACTAGTCGTAGTAGTAGTAGTAGTAGTAGTAGTAGTAGTCGTAGTAGTAGTAGTAGTAGTAGTA